GCGTGCTTGCCACATGGGGCCCCAGGATAGAGGGGGGAAGCCTAGGTGCCCAACATGAGACTGTGGGGCCGCCATACATGGAGAGCAGCACTGGGTCAGGATGCCATTGCTCAGGCCCTGTCACAGCTCAGGCTGAGGCCCGCAGCCACCCTGAGAGGACTCTGCTCTGGGCGGATTCCTGGGGCAAATGGTTTTCCTCTTTGTGGTGCATTAAGAGGCAGCTCGGCCACCTCCGCCTGCCGTGGCAGCCCCGCTCGGGCATCTGTGAGAAGGTCAAAGCCATGGTTCTTCATGTTCAGCTTGCTTCTCTGAGGCGCCCGGCTGCAGCATGCGGGGCCGGCGGGCGGCGTGGGGCTCTGCTTGGCCAGCTGAGAGACAGTGAACATGGAAAACCATTCTCCAACCTACATGTGTTTATTTGCAGTGGACTGCAGTATTCTTTCTTATTTTCACTTCTCTTTCTCTCCTTTTTTTCCTGTGACTGTGCTGGTTTTGTTTTGGTCTTCTTTTACACCCTTCTCTGCATATCATTTTTTCTTTCTTTTGTGGCTTCATTCCATTTTTTTTTTTAAATCTTATCATTTGGTTCTCCTCTTTTTTCCCCATAATTTTGGATAAAATCCATCGCATGTATCTTCTTTCTTTCTCCCCTTTCTTGCTTTCTTTTCTTTTCTCCTGCACTTTTTCTTTTTCGCAGCATTGGAACACGGGAGGTAGTCACCCAGAAGAACTTGAGCGGCCTGGTGCCCATCCGGGACTTAAGGCTAGACCCCAGCCTCCTCTGTTCCCTTCCTTTATTAGCTCTGAGCCCCAATTTACTGATTGTGTGGCTCTTTCTAAGCATAGCATACCTGGTGACCAAATTGCGTTGCAAATGAGTATTATTCTGCAAAACTAACGAGTCACAAGAAATAACAAAAGTGCCCGAATATGTCTAGCCACCGTGTACCTAACTGGACAGAAGGAAGGTGTTAAAGTGTGGTCTGCCAAGAAATAGCTCATGCCTTACAGTTTGATGTTTTGTTCTTCTAAACTGTAAATACCTGCCAAATTATTTCGCCAAGAGGACTTGTTCATTTCAATCATGCAGCGTCTTCAGTGCTTGTAACATGTTGTAACACTTTATTTAGCTGGCCTGGAACAATTTGTACCAAATCTCTAACCCTCTGATGTAAAGCTATTTAATACCTGTACGTCTCATGTGCCCTGTTTCCAAAGAAGGGAACTGTCTCTGAAAAGAATCTGTATATTTGATCCTACTCCTTACGTGTACTGCTCACTACCCTTCCCTTTCAAAGAAAATTGAAGAAGATAGATGCTTTACAACTGACTCATTAGGTCAGCCTGCTTAATAGGACGTAGATTTCCTGCTTTCATTTTAAAGCGCAGTCCTCAGATTACAGTAGCGAACAGCGTGCAGAATCCTTCCATTTCCTTGCTTACGTATTCACAGTTGTGGGAGAGCAGCACACTGTCTCCAGTCGGACACATAACGATAACATTTGCATGTGGCTGCAGATTAACTCCCAAGATGTCACACTGATTCCAGGAATTATGCACATTGTAGCAAAAGGACATTAAGTCACATCCACTTTTCTTGACCTAGCATTTTTCATTAAAAAAAAATACACCTGTCATTTCAGATTAAAGTCCATATATCCCTGTCTTACTAATCACATATGGTTAATAATGAACACCAACCAAAAAAAAAAATCAAAGAACAGTTCCCAAAAAATGAGGTTTAGCTCTCAGGAAGTTGTGCTGTGAGAGAGTTGCTTTAATTCCTGCTATTGTAACTTTCATTTTAGCACAGTAGTGTCCCTCCCATAGGGAGGTGGCAGCCTTGCATTCGTATGTGGCAGAGAGTAACTGTGTGCCTGTAAAGGTGACCGAAGAAATGGGGCAAAGCGCTGCACGCCCTGAATAGGGATGGGCAGCCTCTCCACACCTCTCAGGTTGGATTATAGTCTGCTGCTATTTTCAATTTCTGATTGGTTCCCCAGACGCCTTAAGATTAAAGAGTGAATTTCTTTTCACCAGTCTAGAAAAAAAATGAATTAGAGAATCTGGCTTTTCCAGACACCCGATCCCCATGCGCACAGGCCTGTCCACCACAGCCTGACCGTTCCATTCTCTCTGCGAGACTTTCAGCCCTTACCATGGGTTTCTCCAAGTTGGCATCTGTGCGGTGGAGGGGTTCTAGGAATCATAGAAGCAGTCAGCAAAGAATGACAAGTGCCAAACTGAAGCAGTTCTACAAAGTAAGGCCATCTGTCTTGAACCCCAGGCCCTCTCCTCCCCAGGCCTTCAAGCCCTGCAGAAGCCTGAGGCACGCACTGCCCTGTTACCTTGTTGCTCAGTGCCTGGTCTCTTTAAAACAAGCCTTCAGTAGAGTCTCCCCGGTGGCCAGCTGAGCGTGCCCCGGCCAAGCTTGGAAGCTTGCCCTCTGTCACTCTGAGGTGCGCACTTCAACTCTTAGGGACCACTGTCTTTGTCTCATATGACAAAGTAAGAGCCCATAGTCTCTGCTCCAGGGGAGAGTTCCTGATGCCTGTGGTGAAAGTCCCTGCGCACGCCCACGCCCACCTCCACGGGGGCAGTGGCCAGGCAGCAACCACATGGGTGAGGAGGACTGTATGGTTGGACAGCACCCTCCCTCCCCAAGGCTCCTGGGTGCCTGTGGTATGGCCAGGGTCCCTTCTTAAGACCACACCACGCAGCAGAGGGAAGCTGGGGCAGCCAGAGTAGCCCTCCTGAGGCGCCTCCAGGACGCCATGGCCTGCTTGGCAACTGTGAGGCTGCTAGTAACAATGCCTGCTTGTCCTGTGTGAGCTGGCTGCTGGGGTGAGAGAGAAGTGGAGCAGACGAGCAAGAGGCCAGGGCCCTGGGTGTCTCTGTTCAGGGGCTGGGCAAAGGCCAGACCCTGCTGTCCCTGCAGTCAGTCAGTCCAGGCAGCAGGTGGATTTTTTTGTTTTTTAATTTTTTGAGAAAAACTCAGCATGCAGGCCCTTTATGCTGAATTTTAACATCACCTCAGGCTTTAGTTAATGAAAGAAGACAGATGCATATCCAGAATCTGTCTGCTTTAGCAAGAGTCACGCTGTTTGGGGCTGAAGCAGTTTCAGCACGGAGGCATCATGATGTCACCCGTCCTAGCACTGCAGCATGCGACAGCCATCTGAAGTTACAGAGCTGCACTCAGGAGTGCTTCCTGTTGGGTGGCCTTGTGCATTCTTTCATAAGCGTGATGGTCACTGTTGACTGCCCTGGTTGTTTCAAGTGGAGATCAAGAAACAACGGCACGTGGTCCCTGTGCAAAGCAACTCCCCAGCAGTTAGATGCCTAACTGCTGCAGGGTGTGTTCTAGGGTGGGACAGCCCCAAAGAGAAATCTAGAATCTCCTTAAAATTAGGTGTCATTTAGGATTGCATTTGAATTTCCAAATGCAAATGCTTTGAATATTCAAAATGGATATCCTTGAAAAATAAGTAATTCTGATGCAATAACAGAGTAGTCAGGTCACCTCAGAATAACTACATGTCTCTAGCCAACCTCCACAGCTGCAGAAGCCAGGGACCACCAGAGCGCCCTCTCACTTCTGTAGACCTGGTTCCAGGCTGAGCAATGGCTCACAGAGACCTATTGTTACCTGGTGGCAGCACAGAGACTTCAGCCAAATTTTATAAATGCCAACATTTACGAGAAGCACTTTAATTTAGAAACTAAATTGGAAGTAAAGTCTTGATGATCGTTTCACACCTACCATATGCAGTCAGCGAAGCCAGGTATCAGCTCCTGCCATATGCAGATACAGGTTGTCTTCCTCACTCCTCAAGGGAGTCTGGCAGACCCAGGCAGTGATAGCTGCTTTCTGAGAAGCTTGCACACTTTGATATAAATAGAGAAGCCATAGCTGAAAGTCTGTTAATGTAGGCACTTCCAAAGATTGTGTATAGGAATCTGTATCTTCTGCTTTAAATAGAATTAATTATATTTTTATCTGCTTACTGAATGTTTGACACACGTGACCATGCTCACGTGGCCTAGATGCTCAGCTCAGGAGACACATCCAGCTGCGGATGGGAGGCTCCAGGACGAGGTAGCCCTGGAGTCGCTGCATTCATTGATAGCCACCACGTGGACACTTTTCATAACACTGCTGTCTTACCAGAAAGTTTTTCACACATTCTTAATAACAGGACTGTGGTTTTCACTTGGATAGGCTTGAGCCATTGCCACTGACATTTTTTAAATGTATGGTGTAATGGTCTTCATAAAGTTCAAAATATTTTTTTTAAAATCAGTGTTTCTTGTAACTGCAAATTTCACATCTTATAAGGGGGATTTTATACTGAACTTGATAACTATATGAGTTCAATGCTAGCCTTAGAACAGTACACAAACACAAAGTTACAGTGTGCTGCAGGAAGACATTTGTATTCAAAAATCACTTTTGCCTGTATATTTTGTCTACATCACTACCTTTCCCAGGGAACACCCCAGAGGCTCCCACTGAGAATGTGCAACCCACGTGCCTGTTCATCCTCCCGGGTATCACAGTTTGCCACTGGGTTGCCGTGACAACCTTCATCACCTGCAGCAGGGGATGATGTGGTAGTGGATTCTCTTGGGAGGGGCAGCTGTGAATTCTTACTGGCCAGGTGGCACTTGTGCAAGAGGTGGCCCTAACGAGGACAGTTCACCTAAAGGAGCAGCCCTCTGTTGGTTCACTTCTTCACAAGGCCCCAGCATTGAGTCACACAGACAGTGGCTAGGCCTGAGGGATTGCTTTGTGCCCAGAAGAGCTGTCCCCTAAGTGGAGATGGGTGTCAGAGCTGCCGCCTCTGCCACATGGCTTTTCTACATACTGAATTCTACAAGGAAAATCAGCATTTTGAGTTTGATATGATTATAGTGCTCATTGTATACAAAAGGGCAGCTCTTTAAACACTTTTGTAAGAGTAGTAGTAATTCTCTTTCCACTGTATTTGGTATGCCACAGAACCTTTAAGCCACAAGTTATCATACAGCCTGAAGTAACTAGATTGGAGTTAATGCAATGATCAATTTTAAAGAAATGCACTTCCACTTAGGTTCAGCAGCGCTTTTGGAAATCCCAAACACACAACCCCACATGGCTTGTATTCATCTTTGTGCTTCTTACTTGCTTGTTTAGAAACCCACCATCCTGTGTGCGTATCTGTTGTAAAAGAGTCCTGTACCTGTTTAAATGAATCATTTTTAATGATATGAAAATAATCAGTTCATTTCATCTTAGTTTAAGTCTTTTCTTTTTTCCTTTTTTACTGCTGTCATTTCTTGTGCTTGTTTTTTCCCCAGTGAGGGTTGTCGAAGAGAAAATACAATGAAGAATGTTGGAAGTCGCAAATATGCATTTAATTCCCTGCAGCTGAAGGCTTTCCCCAAGCATTACAGGCCTCCCGAAGGGACTTACGGAAAAGTTGAAACATGAACACACGTTTTCCTCTAATTAGCTGTCTCATAAATATGGGTACCCTCTAGTGTTCTATGCGAATTCTTCAAGAAGACTGGGAGGTTGGCTTTTTATTTTTGTGGTTTTTTAAAAAATATTTCACTAAAGAGTCTATGGAGCATGTTCTTTCCATTGGAATCCATAGGAGGTAATGTTGGCTCAGTAGCGTGAATAATAACTATACCCATTTTAAGTAGCCTTCAGCTGTCACCACAGCTAGTCCTGGTAGTCACCTAAGAAGCCAGCTAGCTCTGTCTGAAATGCCAGAGGACCTTTTTGAACACCCACTTAGACACTGCTCACCTAACTTATTTTTCTAAGTAACTCAAAGTGAGCACTGATGACAATCTCCTTCGTACACTTCTGACTGTAGAGCAGTCAGTCGTCTGTGAACGGCCGGGCCCAGGCAGACTGGTAACTGCTAACTCAAGCTCGGGGGACTCATTCCTTATGCATTATGTGCTGCCACCTGTAAAAGCCAAGGTCGAGAGACTGAGCAGTCACCGTGAGCCAAGCCTCAATGTGGTGACCCCCAGAGGAACCCCACCCTGGGCCACGCCTCCTGCTGTCCAGTGAGCTCGACCACAGGGGGTCTGAGTCCAGAGCCAACAGCGCAGTCCCCAAGTGCTGTCTGCTCCTAAGCGCATGCGTAGGTCCCACTGTGCTGAGTTCCTCCTTCCTCCCTGGAAGTTCAGTCCTGAAGGACCACAAATGTTACATGGCTGATGTCTAAGAAAAAATGCTTTTGTGGGGAATCTATGACTGTGTAGAGATAGTGGAAACCTAAATATTTTCCAAACAAAAATTCTCTTGTGGGATTTCCAATAGATCATTTTCTACAAGCCAATACAATCATGTGTGAATGTCTAATCAGAGTGGCTTATTTTTAGGTTTGCAATAATGGTTATGTTCCTCTTCTCATTCTGCTGTATGACTACTGAGAAACAGTTGAAGTTATCTCTTCAAATGAGATTCTGAAAGGGGTTCATGAGCCAGCAATCTTTGCAGTTTCATAGAAAATGGTGTGGTCATCTTTTATGAGATGATGATGAGTCTTATCTGCACATAGCAGAAATTTTTCTCCTTAGGAGTTCTATGTTTTAGCCATTTTTTAAAAAATCAGGATTATGTTTACATATTATATAAAAGGCTGTAAACAGAGTATCTGTGGCACGTTTAAACGATGCTGATTCTAATGATTTGTAAACACACTGGAAATACATACTATTCTGGAGGATATTCTTTTGGCTCCTTTAGAAACATAAACTTGGGCCTGGAGTGAAGCACAGACAGGACCAGTCCTTGGCAGGGACACAGAGTAGTTGAGCAGGAGGCAGGGATAGAGCTGGGTGACCAAGACCCCTTCCTACCAGGAGGCAGTGTGCAGACAGCCTGCTGTCGCCTACGGCCTGCTGGGAGGATGGGAACTGGTATGGGGACACTTTCTTGAGGGATGGTGACAACTCAGCATCCCTCCCTCATCTATGGGTTTGTGGAGGGCAAGTGGCAGAGAAACTGTCCACCAAACCTACTGGTGTCAGCTCTTCCCCTTCATCGGTCTCTGGTCAAAGGCAGTTCGTTCTCCACGTGGCTCATGTAAGCCCGTCACCTCTCTTACCATTTCACTTGTTATTTCAGTTCCATCTTTTCCTATTTTAATATCACTACCTTTCAAAACTCTGATTTTTTAAAAATGAAATGTTACTCATTGTTTCCTAGCCTTTTTGATCCAAAGAACATTAAATATCTGCATTTATAAAGGGAATAACAGCAAGTGCAGTTTTGCATGGGGCATCTTAATGTGGATTCTTTTTCCAGTTTTTGGTTTCTGTTACGGGTCACCATAACGCTAAGACTTGGCTAGTTGTGTAAAAGATTCCAGCTTCAGGGTGCTCTCTGAAAGCACGTGACTGGCTCCTGGTGGTGTTGGGGACATACTGGTCAGCCTTAGGTGGACCCAACTCCTTGGGTCTACGTGGAGGACCCCGACCTTCCCGCCACATCAGGAAGGCCATGTGACAGCTTCCGTCCAGTGTCCCCCTCACCCCTTTAAAAAAGGAATGTTGTGATATAGGGACAGTGGGGAGGTCAGGTGGATTCTGTTAGAGCTCCTGCAGCACAGATGCCTTCAGTTTTAAGATGTAAAAATATTGTATAATACAGTTTTGTCCCCACACAATTGTACTTGCCAAGCTAGTGTGTTAAAATACTTTTATTTATTTGTTTTGGGCAGTATTAATATAAATATATATATATAAGCATAGTTACCGTTTTATATATTCTTAGCTCATTCAAAGCCATGTATGCTGTAAATGTGCTAGTCTTTAGAATGATGGACAATAAATCACTGACATTAAGCTGGGTCTTGCCTGGTCATTCCTCATGTCAGAGGCTGAGCTGGACAGCCAGCACCACCTGCCTCATCCTGGTGGGCACCATGTTCTGTACACTGGCAAGTGGCAAGCATGGGGCCATCAAGACTAATGCTTTTAAGTCTTCTTGTCACTTAGTTTGAAGCAGAGGGCCAGGAGGGTGTGACTGGGAGCATGGACACTGACATAGACAGTCCCAGCTCCCATCTAAGTTCTGCCATCCATGGGCTGGTGACTTGGAGCAAGTTGCATGACCTCTAGAGCAAAGTGCAGCTAGCAGCAGTAGGTTCCTCCCAAGATGGCTGGGAGGCAGGGGCAGGAAGTACCAGGATAATGTTCTCTATCCATTAAGGGGCTGCAGGGTTCATGTGGGCAGCCTGGCCATCATGGGACTTGTTAAGTGCAGTCACGTTCACAGGACGGTGCCTAGGGACCCCGTAGCTCAGTCCTGGTAGTGCAACACTGAAACATTCCTGACTTTGTGACTTAGTGTGCTACTCCAGAAATGTACGCCCCGGTGCTGCAGGCGCCTTCCCCTTCTCATTGGCCCTGGAAATGGCATCTTACTTCAGTCCCCATTCCTTTGGTTAGTGTGAGCATCAACCATCACTAATACCTTTGCCGATACTTGTCTTTGTGACTATGCTGTCTTTTTCATATCAGTGCTTTTAATATTGGATATCTTCAGCCATGTCTTCTGTCGAAGTATCTTCGGCCTGTTGCTAGCTGTCTGTTGGCTTCCTTCATGGCAAGGACACAGAGGCCAACAGACACAGCAGCTGTAAAGGTTTATGGAGCAGAGGTGCTCAACTCCCTCTGGCTGATGCTCATCCTGGTGAGAGTGCACACTTGTGTGGTGGCCATGGAAAAACACATTTGTTCCTTAAAAACTTAGAATGACCGTCTGACCCAGCGGTGGAGAGCCGTATCTCAGGGATACCTGGACACGCATGCTCAAGGCAGCATTAGGCACAGAAACTCAAAAGTGGAAGAAATCAACAGGTGAGTAAACAGGACACATGCACTGGGAGATTGCCTGGCCTTCCAGAGGCAGGGAACTCTGACACATGCCACGGCATGACAGAACCCTGAGGATGTTCTACTAGGTGAAATAAACTAGCCAAAAAGGGACAAATATGACTCTACTATTTCAAGCACTCATGTACTTAAGAACTCACCATTCAATAAAGAATCTGAAAAGGAAATTATAGTTTCATCAATTTTTTGTGCATCACAAAAAAATTACAGCAGGCATGATGTGCACACCTATGATGCTGAAACTTGGAAGTGAGGTGGGAGGATCACAAGTTTGAGACCAGCCTAGAACACTTAGCAAGACCATGTTTCCAAATAAAATTTTAAAAGGGCTGGAGATGCAGCCCAGTGGGGCTGTGCTTGTGCACCAACACTCTGAATTCAGACTCAAGAACACACACACACACACACACCCTCTTACAGGTCAACAATAAAGACAGCCCAACTAAAAACCAGACTGAGGACCTGAATAGGCATTTCTCCAAACATGACATACAGATAGCCAGTAAGCACAGGAAATACGCTTACATCATTAGCTACTAGGCAAATGCAAATCCAAATATCCAAGTCCCAGATAGGTATCACTTCATACCCAATAGAACAGCTGCAGTCAGAACAAACAGTACTAAGCCTTGGAGATGATGTAGACACCAGAACTCTCCGCATGGTTATTGGAACATCAGATGGTGGTTAGCCTCTGGAAAATTCTGACAGGCATCAAAATGTTAAAGGCGGCATCACTGTACAGCCCTCTAGTCAACTCTTAGGTTTGTACTTGAGAAATAAAGTGTGTCCAGACAAAGCTTGTTTACTGATGTTCATAGTGCCAAAGTAGAAGCAATGCAAAGGTAACTGATGAGCGGCTAAACTTAATTATGGTGTCTCTACTGTGGAACATTATTCAGCAGTAAGTAATGAAGTACAGACATGCTCCCCCTTGATGAACCTTACCAAGGTAGGTGAAATAAGCCAGTCGCAAAATACCACATTGTATATACTCTTATATAACAAGCCCAGAGCAGGCAACCCTGTAGACAGAATGTATGGTAGCAGTTGCCAGGAGAGGAGGGGGAGAAGTGGAGCGACCGCTGGCAGGTAGGAGTTTCTCCTTGGGATGAAAACCTCTTGGAATGTGGTGATGGCTACTCCCTCTGTGGTTACAGCGAAAATACTTAACTGTACACTTCAAGGGTGACTTTAGTGGCACATGAATTTCTCCAGTAAAGGCTCAATAAAGCTCAAACTAAACAGGACAGGTTTTACAAATACATCTTAGTTTATCAGAATTACTGTATCAAGTTGTAGCAGTGAGGCCTAGTTTATTTTTGGTACTGGGAACTGAACTCAGGACCTTGGCCTTGCGAAGCAGGCCCGTGTTGCTGAGCCTGTGCTAGGAGAGCGCTCGCCTGGCATGCAAGGTTACTGGGTCAGTCCCCAGCACCACCAGAACTAAAACCTGTAGACCTTAAATGGGTGTACAGTAGTTACTGAAGACACCCAGGATTTTCCCTTTCCCCATGGAAAAGAGTAAACACAGCAGCCTTCAGTGACAGTATAGGGATTCTCAGATGAACCTTGATTGCTTATCTCCACTGTGGAGATGCTGTGGCTCTTCATTATCTTCAGTGCCAAAAATAAAGTTGGAAACTTAAATTCCTATTTGGCTCTGCTGGATTAAGTGTTGAAAATAAAATTACTGTGATTTTAAGGCTGGAGGTACAGCTCAGTAGAGGTGCACTTGGCCCTGCATGCACAAGGCCCTGGATTCAAACCATATAGTACAGTGTTATGGTCTATATCTAGGTGTCCCCTCAAAGCTTCATGTAAATCATGGGGCGGACTTCTAGAGTTTGTGATTAACTCATGAGCCACTGGGATTATCGGTGTGAGTGCTGCTGGGATTATGGGTGTGAGTACTACACCCAGCCTAAGGCAGATAGTCTGAATGCAACATAAGGGAGACAGATTTGCTCTCTGTTGTTGTTACTGCTACTCCTCTCATTTGCTCTTGCTTTTTGCCACTGCCATGAACAGTTGTTCTCTGCCATGTGCCACTCTGCCTTGGAGCCAAGTGAGTATTGGACTGAAACTTCCAGTGACTGTGAGCTAAATAAACCTTTCCTTCCTTCATTCTGCATGTTGGGTATTTTGTCCCAACAACAAGTGAAAAGCAACTGAGACAGAATTTCAAAATTGGTACCAGGAGTGGGGCTATTACTGTGATGTTGCCTGGCCTTGTGATATAAGAACCTTTGTGATTAATTTGGAAATGTTTTGTGAGACTAGCCCAAGAGACATTCTTACTATATGCTATAAACTATATTGGAGACTCTGATTAGAGCCTGGAAAATCAGAGTACTTGTGGAAATGCTGCCAGTTAAGCTGAGGGTACTTCAATTGAGAACTGCATTGGGAGCTGGACCCAGGTAGTATATTTTGCTTTAGCAGAAATTTGATCTGCATTTTGCTTGTGTTTGGAGATACTGCCTGGGTGGATTAAGAAAAATTTCAGGGCCAGGGAGATAGCTCAGTGGAATAAGTGCTTGCCTGACAAGCACAAGGTCCTGAGTTCAATCCCTGGTACTACCAAAAAAATAAAATCTGTTGGTAAGGTAGCAATTACTGTTGAGGGCTTTTAGCCAGACCTATATTTGAAACTAAGAATGAAGAGTCATGGACCTGCCTTGCTGGCCCCACCCCCCAGGGCACACTGAGATGGCAATTGAGACTGGGCGTGGTGGCGTGCCCCTGTAATCCCAGCTTTTGGGAGGCAGTAAACAGGCATATCACTATGAGTCCAATCTAATAGTGAGACCTTGAACACCCTGTAGACCCTTCCCTAAAAAATTTTAAAATGTAAAAAAGAATGAAGAGCCAGTAAGTTGATACATTTGGCCAGAGAGGTGGCTCTAATAGACATTTGATTGCAAGGATGAAATAGCAGACAATATTATTGTTAGGACAATGTAAACATCACCTGAAGCTTTTCACCTGAAGATGAGTGTATTTAAATCAGGACATCCCTAATTTTTAGTCTTGCCATGCTTTGTAAAAACTAATGGGAAATAAGGGACTGTGATTGTAATAAGTTTTTTAATGTTTATGTTGTCTATATATGTTTATAATCAGGTTAATTAATCAAAGTATTGCGTTTTAACCTTAAATTTTGATCATCTTTTAAAATTTTGTTTTTGGTGCAGGAATGAGTGCAAAAAAATTGTGTATGTAATTGTAACATTAATGTAAATCTAAATACATCAAGACATGTTAACTTTTCACAAATCTGCCATGAAAGACTTTAAGAAATGTGTATGGTTATCAAGTTGACCACGGGTGGACTATAGTGGATTTCTAACGGGTGATCCACTTACTACACCCAGCTGAATTAAACTAGTCTGGGGCTGGGTGCAGGAGGCCCACCTAAGGATTGTTGCCAGCAGCATAAAAGCAGAACAGGAGAAGCTGCTGGAATGCTGTTAGGGACGCTGTTTGGAGAAGCTGTTGGAGCTGTTGGAAGCTGCTGGTTCTCTTGGGCTGTTCTGCTGGAGGACCTTGTCATGTTGGCTTTCCTAATGAACTTTGGAGGAGCTTGGGTCTTCATTGAGCATTGATTCCAGGCTCTGGAGGGGAAGATGTGCACTGCTCAGCCTCATGAAGCTTGTCACATTGGCTTTCTTGATGGGAACTTGGCTTTGCTCATCACTGGAAGAGCTCAGGACCTCTTGCTGAGGATGGCTACAGTACTTTTGGGGGAGCTCTGGTGCTTAACTTTGAGCATTGCTTCCTAGCTCAAGTTCAGATCCCTCAGCTTCCTAGCAGATACTTCATCCCACTGGCATAGACTTCCTAGCTTCCACCACTGACCTTTGGGCCTTTCCAGGACATATCCATGCAGTGGACCTGCGTAAGACTTTGTTGTGAGCTGCTCTAGGCCTCCAGTTCGACTTATGGGAGGCATTGTTATCAGCTCCAGGTTTCCAGCTGGACTCATGCAAGATATTAGGATATAGGCCCTCGGCTGGATTGTTTAGTATTTAGTGTGTGGACAGATTTCCTGCACTTGTGATTCTTGGGTGATTCATTATAAAATATTATTATAAAATGTGTCCTGACTATATTGTTCACCTTGCAAAAACCCCAAACCATGACATGCAGAAAAAAAAAAATCTGAACTTTAAACTTCTCCAGCACTGCCTGCTTTTCCCCTTGGCTATGTGTAGTGAGTACTGTTTCAGTTTGCTCCACTTTCTACTTCAGGAATAGCCAGTCACCTAGCCAGTGTGATTCCCATGGTTTTTACCAATCACAGTGCACAGGCCCAGGCCCAGCCAAGACCAGGCACCAGGGGATCTTGTCCAGGACAGGCAATCCAGGGGAGACCCAAGTCCCTCAGCAGGATCTGATTGTGGACCCTGGTAAGGAAAGTATGCTTTCTCCCTTTTGGGTCTGATGTTAAGGCTCAAGGCATAGGCTGACACTGGCTTTTATGTGGAGAGGATCAGACTGAGAGATGGAAGAGCCCTGGCAATACCATCAGGGCTGGCACCCAGCTGTGCCGGGGACGGGGTGGGGGGTTAAAGTTTTGAGGCCGGTACTTCAGTGAACTGGAGCAAATAAAGCATCTTTTCCAAGGACTCAAACAATTTATTTAGAACCAAGCAGGACAAACTGAGTAAAAGTTTTATCCTAAACTTTTCCAATAAACCTCATCTGCACAGGCTTCATATTACTGTCAGTCACATCAGTGGCATCAAATCTGTGTAATTTTGATTAAAGGGTCAAGTTTGAAAATAACCTTCCCATTCTTTGTGCTTTAGGACAGTCCTCAAAACTGTTCAACTAAAATGATCTTCTAAAAATAAAGTAGGAGCTACATTTCCCTTATACAGATTAAAAAACCAATTCATCTGTTTTTTCCACTGTTGTATAGGGAAAATGGGCCCAACCAAACAGAGCAAAAAGTATTAGCTTTTCTATGTTAATGACCAGAGGAAATCCTTTGTTGGTTTTCATCTTGCCCTCAGCAAAACGGTATCAATATCCTTTTCTTCCTCTGAATCTTGATCTGGCATCCAACTGAAAATAAATGTATACTTTAATCAAATTTAGTGTAACACAATTAAATACAACTTTGGTAAGTGGTGTCAGTCACACATGAAGTAAACGTTTCCAACAAAATCAATTCTCAGAGCTACTTAGAAGAAAAAAAAAAATAAGTAACAAAAATTTCTCCAAAAATAATAGTTCCAGTTAGGGGTGATCAATAAGGATTGTCTTCTCAAACAGAACCCAGACTATGCTTGTCTTGTCCTTTAAACACTCAACATTTAGGTTCTTCTTGAAAACCTAAAATTCCAATTAAGTTTTATTTAGGTTAATATTCAGACATATTTGAACTCTTTAGCAACAGAGAAAAGCAGAAGAGACCTTATTAGGTAACACACAGTCTTGGTGTTAAAGCCCTTCATGTGAGCCACCTTCTAGGCTGATGGGACATTTCTTCAAGTAAGTCTGAGGCAGCCACTTCCTCACGTGGCCAGGACAGAGGAGGCTTCTGAAGTCAGTGTTCCTGTTGGTGTCTGGATGTCCCCCACAGCCTCATGAGGTCACTGGGGGCAGGGTTTTTCAGAGGTGGTTGAGTCTAGTTTGTGACTGGTTCATGTCATAATGCCGGGATTAATGGTATGAGTGCTACACCTGCCCTAGGGCGGGCAGCCTGCATACTAGGTAGGGGACAGACAGAGGCTTGACCAAGTGCTTTCTCTTGCTGCTTTTGTGGTCTTCCACAGCCATTAACTACTGCCCCTCTACCATGTGCCAGCCTGCCTTGGGGCCAGCTTATTATGGACTGAAACCTATGCAAACTGAGTTAAATAAACCTTCCTTTAATTCTGGATATCGGGTATTTTGTCTCAGCAATGAGTAACTAAGAGAGTCAAGCATAAGGCCAGTCTGTAGAAAGCAGTGTCACGCTCAGAAATTCCGCGGGAAGGACTCATTCTGGAGATGGGCCTGGCAGTGAGTCCACCATAGCCTCAGGACAGCCGGCCACTTGCTCATCTGAGCACAACACAGATTACCTAAGGGCCATTTTTGAAAAACAAATCTTTGTATGGGAACCATGGTCAGAGTGGTGTGCTGTTCATACTACAAGAAGACAGCGCACAAACTTGCCATCTCACCTTACCCCGTCTGAAATGGTAAGCAAAGTTACCCACACAATTTGTCATGTTTCTGCATTGCCAAGCCTGTAAGAGCAGCAGCTGTCACGCATGACATGACTCCACCCATTCTGAGGACCAGCGGGGACTCTGGCCTTTGGGAAAGAGTGTAGGACCTGCTAGAGTCTGCTGAGAAGATCCCTGGACTGCTCTTTTCCAATGGCACAGCAAGCCAAGTGCTGAGGAAGTCAGAGCACTTGGACTTTTTATTCTTGATTGTTTGCAATTTCTGTAGGAGGTAGGTAAATTGTGAAAAGCTGTAATTTCTTAATGTTTTTGGAGATCACAGAATAACCTTTAGGCAAATACTTTTGGGGAGTTTACTGTAAATTGTCATCAGATAGGTTTGTGTGGTACAACTCATTATAAGGCCTTACCCTAACAGTTCCAACTTGTCAATGATCTAAGCATGCTTTGAAATATCTGACATATCTACAGATTTCATTGTACATGGGTAACAAAACTATGTGAAGCAAGGGAAGAAAAAATTTCCTCTATGTTAAGTGACAGAAAAATTTGGCAGAGAACCATCACTTGAACGCCAGAAATTAGCAGTATTCTTAGGGCCTCCTTCCACAATCCATCGCTCCAAAATTCAAACATACTGACATATTTTTCTAGCCATCTGGGCAGAAGCGCACATACCTTCGGTCTGGACAGAATCGGTTGGAGCATAACACAAGTGACCTGAGTGCTTGGTGACCAGAGTCCACCCTGCACAGTTCTGTCACCAGCTCTCATTCTCTCACTATATGAACCTCATGGAGTGCAGCACAGCCGGGGTCGGCATCCTGACTGGGTAACAACCGTCAGTGCGGGGTTTTCATGAATGCCACCTAATGTTTAACTCCCTGGAGGACCCATTGTCTCCATCCTTTTTTTCAAACTATGCCGCTGCAACCTAGATAAGACTACTAAGTCACTTGCATATTAAACCCTGTGTAACTAATATTTAACAAAAACTGTTTAAAATCTTTTAAAACACTTACCATTGATCTTTTACACTCAAAAAATGAGTATTTCAGAGCTTTGCAGTATCCTTCCTTCAAGCACTCCCGAGGGGATTTTCCTTCCTGTGACACAGAACAGTATAAATACCTGGGAAGTTTCCTCCCAGAGTACAAAACAACTCTCCTTCTAAGAAGTTCTACTAAAGAGAAAAAGTTATATAAGAAGTGGTTCTGCTGGGGAGATGGCTCAGTGGCATACGTGCCTGCCTGGCAAGTGCAAAGTCCTGAGTTCAATCCCAGTACCAAAAAAAAAAAAGATAGTTAAGAAATGGTTCTTGCTCTTTTCCATCTTGCAAGATGGCGGGCAAAAAAACCTGAGAAGCCAGACACTAAAGAGAAGAAACCCAAAGCCAAGAAGGCTTCTGCCAGTGGTACTGGTAAAAGAGTAAGGTGAAGGCAAAAAAAAGTCTAAGAAGGGGCAGCCAAAGTCCTGTCCTGGTTAGAGGAATCGGTAGATACTCCCAATCTGCTATGTATTCCAGAAAGGCTTTGTACAGGAGAAAGTACACAGCTGCTAAATCAAAGGTTGAGAAGAAAAAGGAGAAAGTTCTTGCCACAATCACAAAACCAGTCAGTGGAGACAAGAATGGAAGTACCCAGGTGGCTAAGCTTCGAACAATACCTAGGTACTACCCTACTGAAGATGTGCCCCAAAAGCTCTTAAGCCACGGCAAGAAACCCTTCAGTCAGCATGGGAGGAAACTTCGAGCTAGCATCACTCCTGGCACCATCTTGATCATCCTCACCAGGCGTCACAGAGGCAAGAGAGTGGTCTTCCTAAAGCAGTTGGCCAGTGGCTTGCTACTTGTGACTGGGCCTCTTAGTCTTAATCATATTCCTCTATGAAGAACACACCAGAACTTTGTCATTGCCACCTCGACAAAAATTGGTATCAAAGTGAAAATCCCCAAACGCCTCACTGATGTTTACTTCAAGAAGAAGTTGCAGAAACCCAGACACCAGGAGGGCAAGATCTTCAATACCAAGAAAGAGAGATACCAGATTTCAGAGCAGCGCAAGGTGGATCAGAAAGCAGTGGACTCACAGATTTTAGCAAAAATCAAAGCGGTTCCTCAGCTCCAGTGCTACCTGTGATCTATTTTTTGCTCTGACAAATGGAATTTATCCTCCAAAATTAGTGTTCTAAATTTCTTACTAGGAACCTAATTAACTGACACATTAAAAAAATGATTCTTGCTTTGTTACAGTGAAAAATTATAACTTTTAGGCATCTCAGAGGAGCTCTTGAGTTTTTGAAAACACTGGTTTCAGTGGAACACCTTTCTTTCATACGTTTATATAAAAATCTAGAAACTGGTATTTTTAGCTCTTTGTGGGTGAAAAGTGTCACTCAGTCACCCTAAAACCTGAACCTTGTTTATGAGGTAGGAAACGCTACCCAGATGCTCACAGGACAGGCTGGGATCATCTCCAGGGAATGTAACCCCATTTTACCTGCTTTGCGGCTATGGTTTTCCCTTCAGGGAAACCAATTCTCCAGCCCAGCCCAGGGACCATTTCCTCAAACCTTTCTTCACTAGGGATAGTCATACTCTCTTAGTTTTCACTATGAAAAAAAGCTCCAGAGTCCCATGCCTGTGGTGCTCCCATTCCTAGGAATACCTCTTCCAGTCTAGGTCCCATATTTCAGTTGTCATTGGCAGGAGTGGTGCAGTTGGCTTCCTTGCCTACCCTGTTCCTCCCAAGACTCAGCACTGCTGCTGATGGCATCAGCTGCTCACAGGAAGGAGAGCGGAGAGATAAAAAGACTAAACATATAAGCTGATGCTTCCCCACACTGTATCTAAGATGCTACCACTTTCGTAAGCTTTCAGCTTATGCTGCCAACTGCCTGGAGGAAAGATCCATCAACATACACTAAAGCAGAGAAATGGAATTTCACCCCCCACCACCACTCCAGTGAGACTGCGCCCCATCTCTAATAGCCACTCTTCCTTTTCAGTCACACACATGGTCGAGCCAGAGTTCTGTGACTGAGATTTCCGTGAGCTACTCCTTGTGACTTAGTTCTAGCTAGTTGACTTGTTTGAGAAATGTGTAAAGAATCAGGGTTAAAAAAGGTTAGTGCTTGGTAGAGAGACATGTCTCTCCTCCCCCACTTCATAAGACCACAAAGCCTGAGCTCCGCTAGGCTAGCTCAGACCACGAGGAAGACAGTAACATCCTATTTTCCCTCACGGTCCCTAGGGCCATATGATCAGCAGTGTATGGGTCCATGGGGGACAGGGAAGCCACCAAGGCCCTATTCCTAAAGATGTAAGAGCAAAGGCAAGAGCTCTACCTCCTTTAAGCCCCTCATACCTATACCCTAATATAGTTCCTAGCCTTTTTGCCTTCTGAGATCAAAATCAGCCAGCGCTCCCCCAAATGGATATGTCCAAGTACAACACAGTAGATACGTAACTCACTGGATTGTGGGGATAGTGGCAGAATCTACTCTCAAGCTTTCCTGCCCCTCCCACAGGTGATTCTTAAGTCAGCAGGGCTGCCAGGGAAGGCTTTCTGCTCCCCAGGAGTCCTAACACTCAGAAGTCTACCTCAGAAATGCCTTTGCACCTGCCTTTTCCTCACGTCATCTCTGAACTCACACCCTTACACCGTTAGCCTGAATTTCTCCAGGTCCCTACAGTTCCTTGACTATCTCACCTAGAAAGAAATATTCGTGTATGTGGGCCTTTTCTCTCCAGTGAGATGCTGCAGGTTTCAGGTGAGTTACAGACTAGCAAGGAGTGAGATTATACCACCCATCTGCCTGAAGATCATAGTAACTCCTTTATTCCAGAAGCTAAGAAAGTCTCAGAGCAGCCCCAGACCTCAGAATCTAGTGGGGAATGGCCTGCAGGTGTAACCACAACACCACCCAAGACAACAGTGGATTGTCTTGACTTGCAAAGCTCAATACTCTGCCCACCATGGCCCTTTCACACTGGCTGAGGGCACCATCAAGGAAAAGCACAAACCACAAACGCACTTCAGGCTGAGGACTGTTCAGCTTCCCATGTTCAGCATCAGTAAGACCATGTGATGGGATGAACAGCAAGCCTCTGCCCAAGGCTTTCAAGCTTTCCAGAGACCCACTTTCTACACATGACAAAAGGCACCCCACTCATCAGTACTGTGTTTGTTCTTAGAGTGCTGCCACTTGGAAATGTGTTCAGCCACTGAAAAAACAAAACAAAAACCCCACATTGCTCTTGCCACTAGTACTGTCTTCCACTCCCAGTTTTTTCCATGAGCCTACTCTATCTTCTGCTCCACTGCTCGCCTCCATGGCATTCTGGGTTGGTGAAAGTCAGGAGAAATCTCATCTCCTCCTCTGACACGGAAGAGACTGCAGCTTTCCTCTCAGGGATCCTAACAGTCTCAGCTCCAGGCCTGCAGGACCCTCTTTGGGCCCCCCCTCCACATCTCCACGCCTCTGCTCCTGCTATGCATTCAGATTCTCCCCAGGATCATAAGAGCTACCACTCCTTTATTTGATAAACTGCTACTCAGCCTTTAAGTCTCAGGCTCAAAGGTCACCTCCTCTGTGAGAAGTGTCCAACTTCTGAGGCACGATCACTTGCGCTAAGTTGGACTCAGTAATTGTTTTTCCTTATAAACAAGTTATTTACTAAATGGCTTACACAGGCCTTAGTATTAGAACTGAATCCATACAAGTGTATGTCTCCCATAAGTAAAAGTTTATGTCAGAAGTTAAATCCATTTTTGTACCACCAGTGCCTGGCACTTACTTGGCCCTTGCTGAACACAGGCACCAATGAATGAAGCAGCAAATTAAAAACATCCCTGAACATGGGAGTCCGAAACCACAAGCATTTCAGTTTCCTCCTCTGTATAAGGAAGCTGGATTTCATAATCTCATTTTTATAACTCTGAAGTTTTATGAGACACTGGGAGTTGAGTTTAACTGGTAAAATCAGTGAATCAGCCATAAATCCTGACTCAGTAGAAATACTGGTAGAGGCTGGCTAACGATTTAGGGGCAGCAGGCATTTTTTTGAAATGCACGCAGCTTTTTGAGAGGACACCACCAAATGCAGAAACTGCATTGTGGGCTTTACGCAGGTTCAAAAAACGAGTCCCTGGTCAAAGTTGAATTTCACTGTGTCTCAGGGCAGGCAGGTCGAGGGCTGACAAACCCTGGGACAGTCGCAAGGGAAGAAGGAGTGGCGGTTACAAGATGGGGAAAGTGTACGCCTAACGTCCGAGAAGGTAAAGCACTTCAACTCTAGAAACCAGTTACTGTAAAACCAACACAAGACAAAAACACAACAGTCCGGGCCAAGTGTACAGAGCAGAAACTGCTGGCCGGTGCCGCGCGCCAGGTCAGGCTTACGGGACTCTAACAACTGTTTATGTGCATTGTCATCTCTTAACACGGTCGAGAAAGCTCTTATTCTCCAGTATTTAGCACGCCCCCAGAGTTCCATAAACGTGTTTTAAACCGAAATGGCTTAATATTTACAAAACCCGACGGGGCAGGTATGGTTATCTCCTATTGAAGGCCAGAAGGAACGGAGACTCCCACAGCCCCGGGATCTGCCACAGTTCAGCAGCTGGACATGTGACCAACACCCCGGTCACGACGGCCACCACAGACCGACAGGGAGACCTTTGCCGAGCCTGCCACCCGGATGCAGGCGCGGCCACCACCCGGAGCGCCCGGCCGCGCTACCTGGAGCACACAGTCCGACTGCAGCAGACATGCCCCCAAGTCCTCCTTCAAACCCGCGCACGCGCCGCCCTCTGGCTTGTCCTCGTAATAACGGGGCATTACGAAGCCTCCCGCCCGCCGCCGTCTCTACCCTCACAGTCTTCAGCAGATACCACCTAGCTGGTGGGCAAACGACGCCCACTGCCGAAGAAACCGGAAGAGGTTCAGGTGACTTCCGGTAGGTCCTCCGCTGTCGGGCGGGGTGGACTACAAGTCCCGAAAGGCATTGCGCGCGCGACGGACGTGGATGTGCATGACGTAATAAGACGCGCCTCCAGCTCTGGTTACGTAGCAAGAAGGGAAGTTAGCCTGGTCGCGCCTGGGCTCAGCTTCTGGGCAGTGGTGGGACAGTAGCTCTGGCTTGAGGCCACACCAGAGCTCCAGGTGAGACCTGATGGCTTCTGTGCCCGTGTACAGGAGTTCAAACAGGAGTCCTCTCCTCTGGCAGTTCGTGGCAGGTAGTTAAGGCAATTAGGCCGTGACCATTCCCGCGGCTGGCCCTGGAGCGCTGGGCCACAGTCGAGTTGCTGGATAAAATCAAGGACTCACATTAGAGGGACAGAAAAAGTAATAATTTTTAATATAAGCGTGTCCGAGATACTGCATGCGCCTCATTCTTTGCTAATTCGAAATTCCAGTGTAACTAGGTGGACTGTATTTTTATTTGCTAAACCTGACAGCCGTTCCTGAAACCCCGGGCTACCGGGGAAGCACCAGGGCAGGGCCGGGCAAGGCGCCGCTGGAGTCCCGGAAGCTTGCGAAGTGGAGTGGGGGGCAGGCCGCGGGTGTGGGGGTCGGGGGGTGACCTGTGCTCTCCCGCCTCCGAACCGGCTGGACAGGACTCCCACACCGTCACCCCATTACTATTCTGGGTAAAGCACTATGGAGTTTTGCTTTTTTTTTTTTTTTAATCACATTCTAATGAACAGGTGTACGCTGATGGACCTGAATAACATTGCTTTCTAATCTTCAGGGTTTAAATGCTTGATGACTTAAAAATCAGAATTTTGGGCGAGAGTTCCGGTCTTGGCGACGTCACAGTGGTGCCTCTTAGGGAGCTCACTTTGGCTTCCTGTGCCTCTTTGCTTGTCCTTTCCGAACAGTGGTTGCCTGGGAGGGCTGAGGATAGAGCGGGGTGAAGCGTGAGAAGCGCAAGGATAGTGATTAAATGTTGTTACGTGGTTCTGAGGGCGTGGCCCTGTCGCAGCTAGAACTGCGGTCTGCAGTTTTCAAGCCCCAAGACGCCTCAGCCCGTTCTCTTTTGACCCCAAACCCCTCAGAGGGTGGAAAAAACCATAAAGTGACCTCCTTCCATGCTTAATAACTTGGAGGAGGAGTTGCTGGTAGTCAACAAGTTTCTCCGGATTATATGTAAAAGCAGTCTTTTGCTTCCATCTAGGAAGATGTTACCGAGTACTGCAATGAATTCCTCGATGCACGGGAATGGAGTCTTGAGTTCCAGGGATGCAGCAAGACACACGGCTGGAGCAAAGCGCTACAAATACCTCAGAAGGCTTTTTCGTTTTCGGCAGATGGATTTTGAGTTTGCTGCCTGGCAGATGCTCTACCTGTTCACTTCCCCACAGAGAGTTTATAGAAACTTTCATTACAGGAAGCAGACAAAGGACCAGTGGGCCAGAGATGATCCTGCTTTCTTGGTCCTGTTAAGTATCTGGCTCTGTGGTAAGTCTTCATTAGTTTATCTCCCATAGAGTCAGAGAAAGAATGAACCCTTTCAGAGTGGGCTTGTCATGTGGAGGATGTTTTCCTATGTAAATATGTTGTGGGTCTGAATTTGGGGATATGTGTAACTTTTTCCTTTTCCTGAACCCTAAAAAATCTCATAAGAAAGAGATGTATTCTTCCATATCCCAAGCAGATGCTAGAGTAGGTTAAATTGCGACTTCAGGATTTGAAAAGCAAGGGATAAGATTCACTGTGTGTCTTTTAGCTACTGCAAACTGATACCCAAATTCCATCTTGCCATGAAAAGGAATATCAAGATTGGAAGTTGCATTTCACAATTAGGCAAACCCAGAGAGTTCTAAAAGTACAGGTGGGAACTTGAAAACCTGCTTGTACGTTCTCCAGTAGTATATTGAATGAGTGCCAGTCACCTGTTAAACTGTAAAGTTTTCAAGTGTGTAGGGTGTGTTTCACCTTAACCTGATTTCTAAATGTGTGAGGTCCTTCTCTATGCCAAGGCAAGAGCCCTGCTCAGTAAGTTTCATAAATCTGCATTCCAAAGGGATTTGCATTTCTCCATCAGTTACATAAAACACATCTTTGGGGTTTTCTTTCAGTGTCTATGTGGGAATCTGGTGGCCAAATGTATCAGCTATCCATTGCTGAAACAAAATATCTGAGTTAACCTAAAAGGAGGAAATGGGGTTTTTTTGGCTTATAGTTTAGAGATTTCAGTCCATGGTCATCGGCCTGTGGTGAGGCAGAACAACGTGGTAGAGAGTGTGCAATGCAGCAGGGGCTGTTCACCTCATGATGGTGGGTAGTAGAGTGACGGGGAAGGCTCTGTGAAGCGGGGATCTTGATATCCCTCTCCAGGGCACACCCTGAAGAGCCTACCTTACCTCATAAAGGTTCCATCCCCTTCCAGTAGCACCACAGGCTGGCAGCCAAACTTTTAGACATAGCCCTTCAAGGGACATTGAAGGTTTACACCAGAACACCAAGGAATGTGTCCTGTAGCCCCAGAACCTAGCACAATGCCTGAGTGAATCTTGTAAATCTTTCTTTCAGTGTCCACTATAGGATTTGGTTTTGTGCTGGACATGGGATTTTTTGAAACAATAAAACTTCTCCTGTGGGTAGTATTCATAGACTGTGTGGGCGTTGGCCTTCTGATATCAACCTTAATGTGGTGAGTACCACTATCTTTGGTTTTTTAGATATGGTAGAGTGTGTATTTGTTTCCTTCAGAGATGCAGTAGCTGATGGAAAATGAAACCAAGATAAAGTAACTGAAATGATTAGTCTTGCTGCCGAAGTGTGTTGGTGCCACTATCAGGAAATTCTCTTAAGGAGTGTTCAGTATTATCAGTGTGGCCAATAATAAAAATAATTATGTCATAGGAACCAAATCCCTGATTTTACAAAAATGTTATGCATTTATCAACCCTGGCTAAGTTGTGTGGTTGCACTATTTTCTACATTTGTCAGTGGGTACAACTCCAGATGTAGGGGAGGGTTCTGTCGTGCTCAGACCCATGTAGATCTAGATGATTATTTTATGAGATCTTACTTTGAATCTATGATATTAGGTGAAGTGTACTGGAAAAGAATTTTTAAAAAAATCTGTAGTTCTTTCCTGCTAAGAATCTCCCTCTCCTCTCCTCTTCCCCCTCCCCCCCCCCTCTCCTCTCTCTGTAGTAAAAGGGCTCCTCGTCTAACTTTGTCTGGGGTTGACTGACCACCAACCGTGTTCCTAGGGTAGATCTTCTGTTGGCCTTTCCTCCTGGGGAGCATGCTGCATGGACTGGCCTGCAGGCTGTGCGCGGTGTGTGTCACCAGTGCCTGAGCAGGCGCAGTACTCAGTGTTGACCCAGGACACTTGGAATGTTTTAGTCTCAGAATGACCCAGGTTCAGTTGCCAACACAGGAGTCTACATAGCTCTAGACTCAGTCTCTTTTGTCAAATTCAGTGAACAGTCAGTTTTGTCACACTCTGTAGAGCATGGTGGTGTGATAAGTACGTGGTACATGTTAAGTGCTTGATATATGGTGGCTATTACTATTTTAAACAAGACTGATCTCTAATGATACCAACCTTTGATTTGCCTTTGTAACTTCTGACCAGTACCGTGCAGCTTCTGTGTGTGCTAGGTCATTAATAAGTGCTGTGCACCCATGATCTAAAATTAAAACTGCTAACAACTGCTCACGCATTCACTATCAAGGTAGCCATGGGGAAGACAGTACGTGAAGAAGTCAGGCTGTCAACAACTTAGCTTGCTGAGTTTGCAGCAAGCAGTGTGCTAGGCATGTGGCAAGTCTAGTGGCCACAGAGCCTGAGTTACCCTGGAGCTCAGCACCTTATGCAGGAGTCTGTCTCGAGGTTTCTGTTACAGACAAGAGCTCAACATACTGGTTTTGGAAATCCATGTTGTACTGTGAGTCATGTGAGGAACTAGGAATAGAAGTGATTCTGTGTAAATCTGGTCATCTCAGAAGCACCACATGAACTAACATCAAGTAGCATTTTAGGAACACGGGATTTGGGGCACCAGGTGAACAAGTGCAGAGGCATAGAAGTGTGGAGCAGCATGCTAGGGCAGGGGAAGAGGGTGACACTGGGTAGGGAGAGATGAGAGAAGTTGGCTCTGGGGCAGGTCAGAAAGCAGAGCACCGCATGTGTGGCTGGAGGAGAGAAAGAGGCAGCACAGCCTGAGCTTGCAGGCTCTTCCAGAGGAGGCCCCCCAAGAGCCACCTCCTGCCCACCCTCTGGCCTCTGCCTCTGCTACTCTCACCATTTGTGTGGTCCCTGCTCTTCCGTGGGCTTTGGCAGCTCCACCCACCTTCCTGCCTTCCCCTGCAAGCTCAGGCTGAGTGCTGAACATTTGGCCTTGGGCATGTAGAGCCGGGAGCTCAATTTCTGTTGAGCAGAAACAAAGATCACGGGACAATGAGGCAGGGGACTCAGTAGTATGGCTGAGATGGGTGACTGTCACAGGTGGGTGGGGAAGCCAAGTAGCCTTTGTGCCCACTGACCATTTGGCCAGAGGGGCTCCCCAGGAGCTGAGCACAGGCTGCTACACACATTTTTGGCTGTGGACAATTCCGTGGGTACCCAGTGTGCAGGGAGCAAGTCACAGCTGTTAGCGTTACTATCTCCTTAAACATTTATGGGCTCTGTTTTGGGCAACTTTTGGACTCTTAGCTCTTTATAAAATGTGTGATAAATTGGAAACTGCAGCCAGCCTACTGTGCTGTGGGACACTAGAACTCAATCCTCGTGTGTCTGTACCTCACTGCCCTTTATCCACATCCCTCCGTTGTCCTCACCTTTCCTACCCCCCTTTCCTACTCGCTAGGGACCACTTTTCTCTCCTTCATGAGATCAGCTGTTTTGTCTTTCACCTCTGAGAACACGTGGCACTGCCTGCCTGTGCCTGGCTCATTGCCCTCATTCTGTAGACTTAATTTGTGTGTTCTTGGCTGAGACAGGATGTTTAGGTACGTTGTGGTGTCCAGGTGAAGCACTATTATTTTTGACATTTTTAGATAAGTACAGGACTGTTTATTTTACTATACCATGTTCTTTGTTTTCTGTTCTTATCTCTTAAGGAAGAGCCTTCATTGTATCCTTGATTTGAAATGCAGTGACACATAAGGAGGTACATTGACTTTCTCCAGTTATGTTTACAATAAGTGATCAGGTTGGCTTTTCTTTGAAGAGCTGCTTGCTGGCCCCTGGGCACAGTATTCACTCAGCACTGTACCACACTGTAGCAGGCCCGGCACCCAAGCAACTGTTCTGTGGCCAGATGCGCTGCTGGCCACTTTGCTTTCTTTCATCCTACTTTCCTCATCCTACTTCTTTTAGTGGGAGGTTGGCACAGGTTATAGACCTTGAGTATATATTCTGTTATTCTTTTGGTAACATCAGTCAGTGGTCTGGCTTTAAGCATCATCTACACTCTAATGAGCTTTTTGTTTTGTTTACAAATGGAACCAGGGCCCTCAGCTACATCCCCAGCCCTTTTTCAGATTTTGAGATGGGGCCTTGCTAAGGCACTGGTAGGCTGGGCTGGAGTTTGCAGTCTCCCACCTCAGCCTCTCAGAGTGCTGGGATTATGGCAGCTGAGGCACTGGTGAGTTTTTCTCTCCACTGTGGGCCCTGGACTGTGCGCTTCATAGGCAGCTCCTCCCTGCATCCTGATAGGTGTCTCCGGCGCAGCAGGGCCATCCGAGGCTCCCACACACTCCTCCACCCTCCTGTCCCTGGAGCCTGCTCTCACCAGCACGGCTGTCAGGAAGACCAGGTCATAGCATTTGCTGGTCACTTCTTGCAACTCCTGTGGCTTCTCTTCATCAAGAGGAGAAATAAGTCCTTAATGGCCAGGGGCCCCATAATGTGGCTCTCCTGCCTGATTCCACTGCCCACTCAACATCACACTTGCTCATCCTATCCTGAGAGGCCAGGCACTGCCCCCCGCTTGGGTCCTCACCTCCTGGTACTTTGTGACCTTCACATTTGAGAGCACATCACAGGTACTGCCTATGTTCTGGCAGTCTTCTTCCCCAGCTGAAGGCGGTTCGTGATTGTTTTCATCCTGGGGCCTTTGCACGTGCACACAGCACTCTTCCTCCCCTCCATCCTCCTTGTTCCTTCCAACTCTTCTGCCCTTTTGCTAAACTTGTCACTTTTTTTTACTCCTGTTAATCCCTTTTCCTCCCTCCTCTCCTATCTTGTTGCTCTTCTTATTTGAAAAAGACCCCCTACTTCCTATTGCTTTTCATTTTGTTCTCACATTTTTTGGGTTCCTCCCATAAGAGAAACCATGTGCCATTTAAACTTTTTTTTTTTTGCGGAACCGGGGATTGAACTCAGACCCTTGTGCTTGCCAGGCAAGCACTTATTCTACTGAGCCATCTCCCCAGACCCAGAAAGGTTCATCTCTTTTTTTTTTTTTTTTTTTTTTAAAGG